AAAGCTGTGTTGCTTTAATATTCTTTACTATCTATGAAATTGCAGAGAATTATTATGTTAAACAACGCCTGAAAAAATATTGTTTTCACAATTTCACTTATCATCTAATTGCGTTTCAGGAACTTCATGTAATTAAAATTAACATACATTCATTGACTGCTTGTATTTTTTTACTATTTCGCTGGCGATACAGTCTCATTCCTCAGCTGTAATAACTGTCTTGCCTATAAAAATAATTTTCATTTTATCAACTTCAAAAATATATAGTAACCACGAATAATTCAAAGTACTTCAATAAACTTATGTTTAGTACACGGCACAGATTTTTCATTTGTTTTATTATTTTCACTATACAATCAAAGCAATCATACTCAAGCAATACGACGACCAATCACAATCGACCCGTACAGAAATTATCTCATCGAGAGCGAATGACAAATCATTGGCCCTCGACTCGGCCGTAACGTTTTTTCCGTTGCATTTGCACAGATTTACTCCCTAGTCGTGCCTAAAGTAGTTTTACTTCAAAAATACCTAAGACATCAGGTAGGAAAGGTAGGACTAGAAAATGTGAATTATCACTTTAGATGCTTTGGTCTTCCAGCTGCAAAAACTTTAGAGAAAAGAACTTTATTGACAAGCAAATTAAATAATTGCCTATAAGACAAAAAATAAGATTCTGATGAGCAAACCAAAGAAAATAAATAGGCATATTCTTTATATTAATTTTATTGTTCTTTGCACCTTGAAGACCAAAGTACTTAAGTGATGATCCACATTTTCTAGTGCTGCCTTTTCTACCTGATGTCTTAGGTATTATTTTGGTTACTATAGTCAATAAAAATATGAATTTCTTTGAATCTGGGAAACAAAAATAGACTGACAAGCAAATTAAATGTTGACCTGGAAACTAACATTAAAGTTATCCACATTTACTAGTCCTGCCTTACGTACCCGATGTCTTGGGTATTTTTTTATACTTAGGAACGGTTACTTTAAAGATTAGTTTATGGACAGTTTTAATTATTTTGGGTCGCACCACTTATAATTAATTACCCATTGACAATTTGACATTCTTAAGTAGATCCATTCAATCACTTTCCTGTCTACAGAGGAAGTGCACGGATGCTTTTGTAAATATTTATTTTGACAAAATGATCAATGGGAAAAATTCCTGAATGAGCGGATTGAATTCACACAGAACTTCTAAGAAAGAAGATACATTGTTTTATAAATTTAACAAAAATAAAATATAGTTTTGTCTTTGATATTTTCCAAATCTGAAATTATCCTGGCGGCGGTGTTGCCAGATTGCGTAAAACTTAATTTTAAGGATTGCCTGATGGGGTAAAAGTTAATCCTTGGGATTTCCTGATGACGTAAAACTCAATGCTTGGGATTGCCTTAAAGCGTAAAACTTAATCCTTGGGATTACCTGATGGAAAAAAAACTCAATCCTTTAGATTACCTACTGACGTAAAGCTTAATCCTTGGGATTACTTGATTACTTAAAACTTAATCCTTAAGATTGCCTGATAGCGTAAAACTTAATCATTAGGATTGCCTGAGTTGGTAAAATCTAATCCTTGGGATTGCCTGATGACGTAAAACTTAATCCATGGGATTGGCTGATTGAATGAAACTTAATCCTTTGGAGACATACAACATTTTGTAGACTCAGTACAACATTTTGTAGTCGACATACAATATTTTACAACTGAGTACAATATGTTAGGACAAATTACAATAATCTGAACCAATTTATTACATTTTAGGGCATTTGGCAATTTTTTTTGACGTCGTAAAACATTTGATTAAACCAAATTAATTGAATCAATTAATTTTCATAATTAAACCATTTGTCCTAGGACACCAATATTTTAAATTAGTAAAGTATACATTAGTAAAAGCTAGAAGAGTTGAATGAGTGAAACTTAATCCTTGGGATTGCCCGATAGCGAAAAACCTAATCCTTTGGATTGCCTGGTGGCGTAAAACTTAATCCTTGGGATTGCCTGATGGCGTGAAACTTAATCCTTAGGATTGTCTGATTGCGTAAAACTTAACCCTTGAAATTGCCTGATGGCGCAAAATTTAATCATTAACCTGATGGCATAGCAATTATAGTATGACATGGTCAATTTTTACACAGCCGATTTAAAATAGATTATAAATATAAAATAAAAAAAAAATTACTAAATCGCCTGTTATTTCGCGGCGTCTATGCTAATTTCAAAACGCATGATGTCGGACGGTAGCACAGGTAAGAGATGTCAAGAAGGTATTAATTTTATTTAAAACCGTTGTAAACACATCATAATTAAAACGATGACATGCACACTTGTACATTTGTATATTTGTATTTGTATATATATACAAAATTTACTACTACGGTAGTTAATTTCACATATATAATTCTATATTTAGATCGGCGTTCGCATCGCATCGCATCGCCGAGCGATTATTATAAAAGAGAAAAACATATCGCATTACGAGCTGGTAAGAGAGGAGACACTTGCGAAATTCATTGATGGACAAACTATATTTGGAATTGGTATAGTAAACTAGTGGTGTATGGCATCGTGCCTTAATGCGAATTGCTGGAACTTTCCGAACCAGAATTACATATTCGGGAAAAAAAATCAGTAATCAATAAATATTGATTAATGATTAACAACAATTGTTTTATACATTTTTAAATAGATAATTATAATCACTATATATTTTATCGTTCGTTAAATATACAGTGACGATCTTATCGCTCAAAACACTTGAGATTGTTTACATTAGCAAGAGGTGCCGAATGAATCCATCTGCGGATATATTTCTTACGATTAGAATAACGCATTTGAAAAATATACATTTTCAAACTGGTTTTCAAATTTGAAATTCATATTTGAAGTATAAAACTTTGTTTATTATTGCAAATTTTGAAAAAAAAAATCGGAAAATTTTGAAATTTGCTTGAACCGTATAAGTAAATTTCAAAAATCAGCTATCTTGATACGGAACCCAACAAAATTGTAATAAAATTAGTACTTATTTTTGAAAATATTATCAAATATCTGATAATTTGATATGCATATGTCTTATGATCATTTTAGACCCCCAAATGACATTTTTGTCACTTTTTTATTAAATTAAATTGTAATCAATTCTTCATTTCGTCATTGCAAGTGAAATGTTTTTTGAATCATTCAAATCGGTTGATTTGTGCGCCCGAAATCGTGGACGAAAAATTGTATCTAAACATACAAACATTCATCCATTTTTCTAAGGTATGCCAAAACGTTCAGAAACATTTGAAACTTAAAAATATGCAAAAATGTTCATTTTCGATTTTTACCCCATAGGAAGTTAACTGGTGGTGCATGACATCGTGCTTTAAGGCAAATTGGTGAAACTTTCCATATTAAAAATTAAAATTTGCAAAAAAAAACTTTAACATTTTTTGAAAACCTTGTAAATTTTAGATTGTTGAGAACATTGACATTTTTTATATAGTTTAACTTTTATGTGGAATTTAAATTTTTTTTATATATTTTGATTTTTTTTTGAAAATTCTTCGTTTAGAGTTTAAGTTTCGTTTTAGAAACAAAATATCGAGGCGTGTAAGCGCCGCATCGCAATCTAATGGATAAAGTTTTTGGCCGTTTTGAAAATACGGGGTTGAAGAAGATTCAAAAAGCATTTTATTTGTACTGACAAAGAACTGATCAAATTTTTAGGAAAGCAGGTCCAGCAGTTTCAGAGATCGAATGAAAAAAGTAATGAAAATGCAATTTGGCTGTCAAAAATCATCATTATACATAAACATATCAAATTATCAGATATTTTGAAAAAAGTTCAAAATTTTAAAGAATTTCAAAATATAATTTTTTTCTTCTAAATTAATTGTTTTTAAAAGCTTCAAATATCTCAAAAATCTATTTTTATCAATTTTCAAATAAGATCAATTAAAGCTTTTTTGAAAATAATAATTTTTGGCACTTTGCCTTGCAGCACAATGGCATGCACCACTAGTTGAATAATTCAAATCGGTTAATCCGTGTTCTCGAAATCGTCGACGAAAATTTGTATCCGAACACTCACGCCCACACACACATACATAAGCACACACAAATACATCCATATTTTCTTTGGTATAAAATGTTCAGAAACCATTTTTTTTGTATATTGAAAATAATTCAGATTTTAATTTTAATTCGGACTAAAGTTCTAATATACTTTAAACAAATAATTTCAACTTTGCAATTCAGTTTATATAATTCCTATAAATATTAGATAATAATACTGTATTTATAATTATCTATCTGAAAATATTTAATATTTTTTTAATATTTTGTTACGGTTTGGGAAGTTCTAGCAAATTGCCTTAAGGCACGATGCCATGCACCACACTAGTTTAAAATAAAATATTTTAATAATAAAAAATAAGTTGGTCTGTGACTCAGTGGTAACATCTTTGGCTTTACACCCACTAGTTTGTAGGATCAATTCCGTGCAAAATTGCCTGATTTCAAGCAGTAATGATATCAGTTTTTGCTTAAAAATTTTGATCTCAATATTATTTTGAGTGAGAAAAGGCTTTTGGAGGTTTGTTTAAACAAAAAAAATACCCAAATAATAATAGTCATACCACATTTAGAAAGAATAATAGAACAAAATAATCCAAAATACGCATTAGTCAAATCAAAATAACAAGAAACCTGCTTCAAAATTCTTACAACACCCTCATATCAATTATAATATATTACAATATTGTACCCCGGACCTAACCTCGACCACAACTGCCCACTCCCAACACATTTAAAGTACCATCATTTAATTTATCGTTCCGTTTTCAAAATGACAATTTTTAACAACCGGCGACGACTACGACTACGACGAGGACATACAATAAGCTTCAGAACAATTTCACATTCGACACTGTTGCTCTGCTACTTTCTGTCCCAAAATTTCGATATCGGCGTCCCGCTCTCGCCCTCATGTCTAGCCGCGAGAGCGAAAGGGACGGATACGTCTGCCGGATAAGACGACTATAGCCGGCGTTTTGGGTAATTCGAGGGATCGAAGAATCAGTCGGACTTCTGACTTTGGAGAGGAAGGCTGTGTTTGGTTTTTGGGGAATTGTAATAAAACGTGGTAAAGATGAAATAAAAGTGTTGAATGAAAATTAAATGTGCCTAAAAGTAGTGTTTTAATGTACGTGATTATAATGTGAAAGACTTTGCACAAACGCAATTTAAAAAGTAAATATTTATTTTACCTTTATTCTTTTACCTGACAGTGTAATGTAATGTAATGGATTGGTGTTCATGTTGAAGAACAATAAAGTTGTTGAATTGCATTAAATTTACACTAAGTTTATATAAATTTACCAAAATGCACATAAACGTGTTCCAACTTCAATATTAACCCTTTCCACTCGCGAATTGCAATTTTTTTTTAATTACTTTATTTGTTACAACTGCAAAAATAATTTGTATTTTGAAACCAGGGCGGCGACGTTCGAATGGAAAGGTTTAAATCACTTTCCACAATTAATTTGATTTGTAATGAGTTATAGTAATCACAAAAAAATCGAAAATGAAATTTTTATACATCTCTACGTTTCAAAGGTTTCTGAACATTTTGGCATACCTTAGAAAAAATCGATGTGTGTGTGTATGTGTGTGTATGTGTGTGCATTTGTGTGTGTGTGTATTTGTGTGTGTGTGAGTGCGGATACAATTTTTCGTCCACGATTTCGAGAACACGGATCAACCGATTTCAATGATTTAAAAAACATTTCATTTCGTGAAGAAATTGTAAAATTATAAAACGAGTTTTTGAGAGAACGAAGCGTTCGATTTGAATGATTCAAAAAACATTCAATTTGTAATGATTAGGAGAAGTGGTGATTAGATTTTGGCAAAGGCAGGTCCAGCCACTTCGAAGGTACAGAGCTAAATGTGCAAAAATGGCAGTTTTTGAGAGGACTAAGCATCCGATTTGAATAATTCAAAAAACTTTCGTTTTGTATTGACAAAACTATTGCTTTCTTTATATATCCTTACGTTTCAGAGGTTTCTGACCATTTTAGCATACCTTAGAAAAAATTGATATGTGCGTGCATGTGTGTGTGTGTTTGTGTGCGGATACAATTTTTCGTCCACGATTTTGAGAACACGGATCAACCGATTTGAATAATTCAAAAAACATTCGATTTTTATAAGGAGACGTGCTAATTAGATTTTGGCAAAGGCAGGTAGAGCCGTTTTGAAGATACGAGGCAAAAAGTGCCAAAATAGTAACTCAGTTTTTAAGAGAACGGAGCGTCCGATTTGAATGATTCAAAAAAACTTTCACCTTGTGTTGACAAAATAATTGATTTTTTTAGAATACCCTTACGTTTTAAAGGTTTCTGAACACTTTGGCATACCTTAGAAAAAATTGATGTGTGTGTGCATCAACCGATTTGAATAATTCAAAAAACATTCAATTCGTATTAATAAGGAAACGTGCTGATTAGTTTTTTGCAAAGACAGGTCTAGACGTTTCAGAGATGCGCGGCAAAAATTGCCAAAAACGTAACTCAGTTTTTGAGAGAACGGAGCGTCTGATTTGAATAATTCAAAAAACATTTTACTTGTATTGACAAAATAAAAAACTGATTAAATTTTTAGAAAAGCAATATCGTTTAAAAATTTAAATTTTCGGTACGGGAAGTTCTAGCAATTTGCCTTAAGACCATAAATTTGCCTTAAGACGATGCCATACACTACTAGTTTCATTCTTGTGTTGATAGTTAAAGAAAAAAAACTGTCAAGGTTTACATTTGTAGTAAATTCACACTGAATTAGTATAAATTTACCAAATCACACATAAACATGTTTTAATCTTGAAACATAAATAATAATTTGTATATCCATCCATAAATTTTCCGCTATTTTATTTATATTTCATATTTTATTTTTGTGTTGACAGTTACGAAGTTTTTGGCGTCCATGTTGAAGAAAAACTTTGTGTTTTGATATTTACACAAAACTTATGTAAATTTACAAAAAATACACATAAATAAGTTTTAAACTAAAACTATAACCAAAAAAGTGCTAAAAACAGTTTTAAGTATTGGTTTTTGTTTAAATAAAAGTTTATAAACCGACTTGAAGTATTTGACAGTTTAAAAAACTGACATGAAGTTCGTGCAAGTTACAAAATTGCTAAATTGAAAAAAGAACAAATTTATTAATAACAACTTTATTAAACAATAATTAAGTTAAAACAATTCAATTATGTGTGCAAATTGTGTTCTTTAACTCCAAAATAATTTAAATACTATTTTTTACATTTTTATTAAATTTGTTGTAAATTTTTGACGTTTAACGTTTTCAAGATGGAACCGGGTTATGACAATTTTAAATTTGGGACTAACTTGTGAAAAACGTCAAAAAATAAGTGTTATATAATAATAATAATAAAACCTGTGATTATTTATCAATAATTAAAATACAACATATATATAAACCGGTTGTTATTTTGATTCAAGTACTTTTTATTTACAATGTGTGCTGTCTATTAACAAAGTGCAATTTTTAATAATTAAGTGTACAATTGACTTTGTTTTAATTATTGAACTTTGTTTCTCAATTAATGGTTCAAGATAATTGTTTTCCAATTAATTTGCTGCATTCAAGATATGATAGATTTGATTTGAAGGAATGTTCAAAGATTCAAGTTTGCATGAAAGGTTAGTAACTGTTGAATTAGAGGTTATTTTTTAAAAAAAATGTAATACTCATTATTGCATTACTGTATCTTATATTATTTTAATTTCTGGCACATCTCAGGTGATTTTTGGCAATAATAATGTAGACATTTCATTTTTCTTATTCATAATCATGAATCTATTATACACATTCTAATATTGTCTAGGCTCATAAGTGAATTGAAATTTTTGGCAGATAACAGTTTTCATTTGTATTCAATGCCAAAGAATGCCTCAAATATTTTCAATGTCAAACAATGACATGTCGTGTTTTGCAATTTTTTCCATTTATTTTTACAACCTAACTATATTTCTATAAATCAAAAAAACTTTAAAAATTCGCTTAACAAACTTCAGAAAGATTTATCAAAATCCGAATAATCGTTCAGGAGGAGTATATTCACATACATCGTTATCGAAGAATTTTATATATAATATATATATATATATATATATATATATATATATATATATATATATATATATATGTATATTATATATAAAATATATCTTATATATAAAATTTTTCTGTAATGATGCATGTAAATATACTCCTCCTAAACGATTGTTCGGATTTTGGTAAATCTTTCTGAAGTTTGTCAAAGGATTTTTTTAGGATGTATGTGATTATAAAAATATAGTAATATTGTAGAAATAAATGCAAAAAATTGCAAAAAACGATATATATATATATATATATATATTTAAATAAATAAATAAAATACGTACTATAATTGCCCGAATGATTTTTCCAAATTATTTTTTGTGCACAAATTTTTTGACTACTTTTTTTTAAAATACCTTTGAAATCGTATTTTGGTCTATTATATTATTTTAACTATCTAAAAATAATACCTAAAATAGATTTTGTGAATTATTAATTTAACTAATTTAAATCTAGTGTACAAAAAAAATTGTTGAAAATAGTTCAATCTGGTTTAATTGTCATTTTGAATATTTCAAATATTTTCATTGGCAAGAATTTTAATTGATAAATTTCGTTGAATAGTTATTCATAAATGAATGAATTCTACTTTTGTTATGTTATAAATTAATAGAATGGTAATAATTTTACAGGACCGTATTTGGAAATTACCTTAAATAATCATGTCATTTCTTTAAATGTCTTAATATTCATTGCATTTTTTAAGTATTTATTTAAAAATTGCTAAATCTTGTATGCTTTGCAGAACCAAATTCCGTTATTTACTAATTAAAATAATTACTCACATTAATAAAAAACATATATTTCAGTATACTAGGATATAAAAAAAATTATATATTTTTTTTAAATATTTTGATTGCAATTACTAAATATTTATATTAAAAATATAAGTTTTTTCATACTGTACAGAACTAAATTCAAATTTTTTAAAATTATGATCAGTAAATTAATAGCTCATATTAATAAAAGATTAATTATTCAGTATAATCGTGACTTTAAAAAAAACATTTTATATTTATTTAAAAATATTTTCATTGTATTTTTTAAATATTTATTTAAAAAATATAAGTTCTTGCATCCTTTCAGAATCAAATTCGTTTTTTTAAGTAAAATTAGTAAATTAATTTCACATTAATCTCATTAATAAATACAAAAATTATTTATTCAGTATAATCGAGATTTTAACAAATAAATTTTATACTTTACAATTTCTGAGTATTTATCTAAATAATATTAATATTAATAGTTTTTGTATACTTTGAGGACCAAATTCGATTTTCATTAAAGTTAGTAAATTAATAACTCACATTAAACAGTGTAAATATGATAATAAACAATACGTTAAAAGATTAATAATTTAACTGGGTGGGTCTGCATTTAAAAATTTATATAATGTAATTATATTAAATTTATGTGATGTAATTAATAAACGAATTAGCCATTACTTATTTAAAAATTCATAATAAAAATAAATTAATCAATAATATTATAGGACTGCTTTTGAAATTATGTACATATATACTTTTTTGTAATTATGACATTAAAAATAGACTTGTAATTATTTTTATATAGGCAAAAAAATAATCTTATTTCAATTATATTGGATGTTGGATAAGTTTTAATTCATTTCATTATTTCGGATGCGGCCCTGCCAATAGTTGATTGTGCAATTAAAAATAATTTTAATTGTTTTATTTATTTGTTTATTTATAACATGACAAAAGAGATGTACATGGAATATTTTATGTCATTCGAGAGATATCAGAGATGGATAATAATAGAAAATAAAGTATATAAGTTTATAATTGTAATTGTTATTATAATTATAATTATATATTGCTATTATTATAATTGTTAATTGGAACGTCAATATGTGTGGAGAAGACACCGAGAGTTTCATTACTGTTTTTTAAGTTGATTAATTTTGAAAATTTCAAAAATGTTTTGGATTTGACTTAGGAACAAATGCATTAAAAATTAAAAAAAAAACAAAAAATATTAAAAAATAAAAATCATACGAAAAAATAATTAAAAGAAATTAGCAAAAATCTAAATAT